AAATTTATATACTACTGATATAAGAGTAAAGTATCAGTTAAAATACAGAAAGCAAAATAATTTTTGTCTTAAAATGTATCTTGATTAATGTGTTCTCGAAATATGCACAATGAAATTTTCGTGCTTATCCCCTTTGACCGACCGGAACGTGAACACCCCATACGTACAAGAATAAAGTACCAGTTAAAATACAGATAGCGAATTGGTTTTAGTCTTACAATATTCCTCAATTTATGTGCTCTCAAAATATGCACAATGAGATTTCTGTGCTCATCTCTTTCGACCGACCCGAACGTGAACACCCCATACGTACAAGAGTAAAGTACCAGTTAAAATACAGATAGCGAATTGGTTTTAGTCTTAAAATATTTCTCAATTTATGTGCTTTCAAAATATGCACAATGAGATTTCTGTGCTCATCCCCTTCGGCCGACCCAAACGTGAGCACCCCATACGTACAAGAGTAAAGTACCAGTTAAAATATAGATAGCGAATTGGTTTTAGTCTTAAAATGTTCCTCAATTTATGTGTTTTCAAAATAAACAGAATAAGATTTTTTTTTTGGTTAATGTATTGATTAACTTGTTCAATAAGATTTAAGAAAAATTTTTAAACGTAGTATTTTTTACATAAATTTTGTTATATGTAAAATTGTTAGCAAAACGTGGGATAGTTATCAGTATCAAATATTTGATAGGGAGTAGATGAAAGAAATACATGCAAGAATAGATAGGAAGAATTGAGGTATACAAGTAAAATATAATTTTGTATATAAGTAATATAATTATATTAATATTTATAAAATTAAATATATGTATTTGTATACATTTTTAAAGTTATTTAATATGAGTTATGAGTAAGTATTGCAAAGTTGCTAAATATTAAAGAGAATTTGTTGAGGTATTGAAGGTAAAGTGGACTGTATTCACTGGATTTCACTTTTAGGGTCAATTTAGACACACCCGTGACGTATACCTATTGTCGGTATACGTCACGGTAGGATACCTATTGTCTTCATCCTTGTCTAATGTTGTCTCCATCCTTGTCTGATGTTTCTGTTTCGTGCACGGTACGGATACGGCACGGCTGTGTCTGAATCAACCCTTATTGCGTGAGACCGTTACGATACGTACAATGTGCTTCAACGTCTTTTCGCCATCTTATCTTCTTCCTTCCTCGCGCACGCGCAGTTACACAACCGTCATAGAGTCAACGGGCGCTAGAGGCGCTACAGCCAACCGCGATCAAACCGCCGTTGCGACGCGACCAAATTACAAAAATTATACAAACTCAACAGAATTTTTCACTGAGATTCTGAACAATATATAAATATATATAAGTAAACATATGTTTAACTAATTTTTAACATTCCCTTTCTAATAATAGAAATAAAATGTAATTTTCAAAATTAGTTACTCTTTAGTAAACTTTAATTTGTATTTATATAGAATCTCTTGTGTATTGTTTTTCATGATAATATTACATGAATGATAGTGCAGTTTACGCTACAATTGCGCGACTAATACTTGAAGGATATATTTGTTTTATGATGTATAAAAGAATGTGGTAATAGAATATTTAGATATTACATACCCTAAGAGCAAAAAGTCGACTTGAAGTCGGCGAATGTCTCAAAAAACGCCGATTAAAAGTCGACTTTCCATCATGACGGGAAGTCGACTTTTCGTCATGACGGGAAGTCAACTTCTTGTCATGACGGAAAGTCGACTTTTAGTCGGCGTTTTTTTGAGACATTCGCCGACTTCAAGTCGACTTCAAGTCGACTTTCGTCCTTAAAAAAGTCGACTTCTCTGCCAAGTCAGTTTTGGCAGAAGTCGACTTCAAGTCGACTTCCCGCCAACTTTTAAAGTCGATAAAATAAACAGCCGCGTACATACGTCTGGAGGTCGGTTGTGTATCTTGAAACGAGGTGAAAATGACAAAAGTTAACAGATTTTATTAGATTTTGATAAATAAAATCGTAGATACGCTAATGAATTTTTACACTTTTGTAATTTTTACCTCATTATTTCAAGATACACAATCGACCCTTTGCTGGAAGGCTAAAACTGATGCATTTCGATTTTTTTTCATATATAAAATAATTTAATTATCTAAAAGAGTGTATAATTACAATCCTAATGTTTTATTCTTAATTACAAAGGCGGCCACTGTGTGCCGTCATATCTGTGCCACTTCTGCGTGCGCGGATTCCGGCAGCCACTTCTTGTAAGCTGACAACAAAACTAAAATTATAAATATATAATATCCACAGACTTTTATACTAGACCATTAAAATCTATGGACGCACTGCTGAAAAGCTGATGCGAGTGCAAGGTGCAAGTGTTAGTGAAGGGTGCGGCCATATTGAATTAACAATAAGTCACTATCGGGTGTTCAACTGCATGATGTGCGTTTATCTGCATTCGTTATTACAGTACATAACGAAGCAGGCGAATGTTTTTGTGTTAAATATTTGTACATGTTATCAATAAGTTTGTAAGTCATGCCTTCAACATGTAGCGTACTTGAATGCCGAAATCGAACCACTACTCCCTGTAGTATTAAACCCTTTCTTTTGGACATTCTGTATATGTCAGACTATTGTATAGAAATCTTGTATAAAACCACTTGTATAGAATCTGTAGTATAGCATATCTTGACTAAAATCAACATGGCGGCAAGCATCACGGCCGAGATGCCTGTCAGCGGTCTAGTATTGTATAGAAGTCTATGATAATATCTAAATATTATTTTATAAATTAAAATCTCACATTATTCATCCGAACCCCAGATTTCTAGCAGTTTATATTTGAACACGACTCTCTGCGACTGCAGCGTTTGTACTATGTATGTACTTGCTTGAGTGCGTGGTATCAACCTGAAAAAATCGTATTGAATTGATGTAATCTATTCGATGAATCAACGTAAAATCGGAAGGAGATAGAATAACGATTTACCTAGTCCATGACTTGGTGATGCTCCCAGGTGTCGTCAGCAGCGACTGAACAAATCGTTTCAGCTTAGGGCACACTTGACCCTCCAAGAAGAAATACGCGAACCACTTGACACCGTCCACAGATGCTTTATATCCATCGATGGTAGTGCCCATCCGGCCTTTCCAAATGTACCAGACACGCGGCAAATGATCTTCCCGGTTCCTTGATTATATCTATAAATGAGAATAATATTCGATCATAATGAAGATTAATATATTTATATAAATAAATAGGAAAAACATTATAAAGCAACAATTGTGAGAAAAATACCTTGGCGGTGGATCAACCAATGGTTCACTAAGATGGCATAGCATGGAAGCGAATTTCGGCAATCATTCGGGTTCTATCGCCGTGACACCTCGCATATACATCTTATTCGTTTCGTATACCTCTTTATAAACCACCTATTCCGGGCTGATTTTCCGTAGAACGCACGAAGAATGCATGAACACAGGTCCCTCCATTTCTGATGGTGTTCTGAAAGATGGTTTATAATGGAGAGGTCGCATTCAATAGGTCTTAATTATCGATGATAATTAATAACACACCATACCTAACCTGTAAGCAGGTTTTCACTTGGCCTTATCCTGATCCTCTTTTAGATCCGCCATACCTGCAAGAACTATCTGGCGCAGCAATTTCGCTTCCATGTCGGTTGGTAACGGCATTCTGTAACAATTCTTGTTGTAGACAACCGTCTCAAACATATTGCAACATACATACAGTCAAATTCCAGTATTCTGATCTAATCGAGAAAGTCAACGGGAAGACAATGATGACGACGACGACGACGTTTCGTGACGGTGGTTGATAGCGCGGCGCTTTTCGACGTCTTATCGTGTCCTGTCTCGCGGCATGTATTTCTTGCACTCGCGTAAACTTTAATTTGCTCCTCTAGCCTCCTCGAGATTCGCCGCCATATTGATGATGCATGACGCGCCGCTTGACTGTTTTCCGTCTTTTTATAGTCGACTATTTAAAAGTCGACTTTTAGTCGACTTTCCGTCATTTTTAGAAGTCGACTTATAAAAGTCGACGGAAAATCGACTTTTATAAGTCGACTATTTAAAAGTCGACTTTTAGTCGACTTTCCGCCATTTTTAAAAGTCGACTATTTAGAAGTCGACTTTTAGTCGACTTTCCGCCATTTTTAGAAGTCGCCTATTTAGAAGTCGACTTTTAGTCGACTTTCCGCCATTTTTAGAACCCGACTAGAAGTCGACTTATAAAAGTCGACTTACCGTCAACTGTGCTCTTAGGGTATATATAATTATGTTTATTAAAAAAATTTGTATCAAAAAATTACATTGACAAAAAAATTAATGTAATTTTTATGCTTTTAAAATCATTGTGCATATTTCGGGAGCACATAAATTGAGGAATATTTTAAGACTAAAACCAATTCGCTACCTGTATTTTAACTGGTTAGGTACTCTTGTACGTATGGGGTACTCACGTTCGGGTCGATCGAAGGGGATAAGCACGAAAATTTCATTGTGCATATTTCGAGAACACATTAATCGAGAAATATTTTAAGACAAGAATTATTTTGCTTTCTGTATTTTAACTGATACTTTACTCTTATATCAGTAGTATATAGATCTTTTTTTGCGTATATTTTTTAAACTATTACAGATAGACTAATTTTGTTTGAGGCATTTGAAAGCACATAAAAAGCACATAATTCTAGCATATTGAGTTTTTTTTATTTTATATGTAATTTTAATGAGTGGGGGTGCTAGCTTACTTTAAGCCAACACCCCCAGTTTCAATTGCAATTTCCCACGAAACCGCTCGAACACAAAAATCGTGAATAGAGCACATAATTAACACATAAAGAGCACTTAATTTCTGCATATGTGTTATTCCGGTTTTTTATGGGGGGTGCTAACTTAACAAACATAAATACATTATGTTACTTTTTTACCTTTTAAGATTTTTTTCTTTTATACGGATGTTTGCAAATCTAAGCCATTCCATTATAGAGTGTTCCAAGTCTTTTTCTGTATTACAAGGGATTGGCGTCTAATAGCCTCTAAAACAAGAAGAATTCAATATAGTTTAGATAAGAAAAAGGTTGTAATTTAATATATACATAATTTAATTATAATAAGCAGTTTTACTTACGACTTGTGTAAAAGCTTCTTGGTCATCTTTTAGCATTTCTAGTATCTTGTACAGAGTTTTCCTTATAATATATTGTTCACTGATGTTTATCTTAGCCAGGGTCAAATTTTTCAAATGGTGGTTTTTTGAATTTGATACAACAATTGATCCCATATGTTAAGACATATTCATTGCCCTGTACATATAAAATATGCTTACAATAATATATTTATATACTTTAGAGTGTGATAGCACATATATGTGAAAAAAATATAGAAATAAATAAAAAGTCAGTTTTGGTCTTGTTTGTACTGATCGTTTGTTACATCTATCAACTTTATACTAATTTTATACTAAATTACTCTTACAGTGATACATGCAAACGATGATGTATTAAAGCCGTACAATACTTCAACAAATCGTCTTCATGCATAGTGTACCAGCTTTATACGTTATTATTTACATATTTCGCCAAATTTTAAGGTTATTTTATAGAAAGTTACACTGTTTGGTACCATTGAAATAATAACCTTGACGAACCTTGATGATATTTTTAATGTCCAAGGACAAATCTATTATAGAACGTAAAAAAATTAATTGATATTTCCTCTCTTTTGTAAATCTCTCTTGTAAATCGGAAAATGAATCCTACATCACCAGCTACTATTCATAGCACAAATAATTATAGCACGTATGGTTAATTGAATTCTTATCATTAATATACAACTTTTAGAATATAATAGTTACTTATTACTTATATATAAATATGCTGTAAATAAAGAGCACTCCGCACTTCTTGATTGACACACGTGTATACGTACTCACGCATCGTATGTAGGACAATCATGTACATCATGGCTGTCTCGATGAGCGTTGCTCACAATATAAAACGATAACATTATAACAACAGGAAATTAATATACTACCAACGTTATTTCTGAGTCCAAATTACAAGGAATTTTTAACTGTTGCATTGATCTCAAATAAATGTCAAAGTAACATTTGAAAAATATTTTCTGTAACGTTTTCAAAATATTTTAACAACATTCAAAAAAATCATATTACAAAATAATATTTTTCAAATATGTGTATAATATTATTAAAAAACGTTTAAAGATACACATAAAATCAATATTTCTAAACGTTAATTTAATGTTCCTTGCTTACTGGAATGTGTATAGTACATGTGTATAAACAGTACACAAATAGGCGGGAGAGGGGCTCCGCCGCAGGGCTTCCCCCGCATAATAAAACTAAACAAACTCCCAGCGTGATACCTAACTGCTTGAATCATATGTGTGAATATTTGTGGCGATATACAATAAACGAGCTTGTAAAGCGCGCCACGAATCCATGTGACAACTTGTCTTGCGTGAAAAGTGTATCCGTGAACTATTTCGACATATATATTAATCATTTATGCCTTCGAATACTCAAAATAGCTGCTATATTTTTCAAACTTTATTTGTTAATAACTTTTTAATAAAAAGCGACCCCCGACTAAAATCACTTGCATGTTACTCGGGAGGGTGTCCTTGACAATATATGTTAAATTCAAGGTCATCGGAAGTGGGTACCCTTAACGCCATGTTTATCCCCACATAGCATGCATATCAAAAAGACGTCCAGAAGATATCCCGAAGATATATTATATATCTTCGGAATATCTTCTGGACGTCTTTTTGATATGCATGCTACGTGGGAAGGCTCTCTTGATTAAATCAAAGTACAGGGAAAGAGGCAATAAGAGCCGGCGCGGTAAATAAGGCGCAAGATTGTATATATTCTCATTGTAAGTAACTCACAATGTTCACTATTATATTGATGCGAACCGTAAATGAAGTGTGCCACTTCGTATGTACGCAGGTATCATGCAATATAGTGGAAATGACAAATGCAACATGGCCCTCCTGGCCTTCCAACTTGGGAGTGCATTGCTTGCCTGCATCGGAGCACACATCTGACTGACCGCAAAATTGAGTGAAGAAAGAGCGTATGCTAGTAATTTAGCCTGTTGACCGCGTTATTATATTTAATTTTTTTAATGTTTTAATTTTGTTTTTCTGTGACTACGTACACAGTGCGCTGAAGATGACCAGAAAAAATGATCGAAACGTTCGCGAACTTTTTATGTATTGACGGTTAAAAGAATATATACAATCTTGCGCCTTATTTACCGCGCCGGCTCTTATTGCCTCTTTCCCTGTACTTTGATTCTATTTGAAATATTACACCTTTCATCAATATTTCAGAAATATTTCACGACCGTCTCTGTAACATTTCTGCAACGTTTCAATGTCCGGAATCATTTCAAATGCAACCTTACTGAAAGATTTCGGCAATATTTCGATAATATTATTGAAATATTTCCTAAATATATCTACGTAATATTGCAGAAACACTTCAGAGATATTTCAAATACATTTCACACTGAGAAAAATATTTTGTATTAGCAAACAAAATTTTGTTACGGACGCAAAAACTATTTGTTGATATGTGAAAAATGAAATATTTTGTTACCATAACAAAACAATTACATAAAAATAATATATCAACCCACTCGGCATGTTATATTACTGAAATATTGAAATGTTCAGAAATGGTGCAGAAATATTTTATTTACATTTTATTTGTAACTGTGCATCTTAAATATTTTAGAAATGTACCTGCATCATGTTTTTTATAATACTGCATTAACAATATTTCTGAAATCTTGTTTTTTTTTTTTTTTTTTTTTTTCCAGTGCATCCGAGAAATTGCAGATACATTTTAAAAGTATGCAATACAGAGTGTCTTAAAATTATCGCTATTTTTCTTGATAGCAGATTTATTCAAAAAAATAACGCGTGCAATGTAAACGTAATAATACTTTTATCATGTATCAGAAATGTTTCTAAATTATTGCATCTGCAATATTTCTTCTGTAATATTGCAGAAATTCACTGCCTGCAATTAAATTTTTCATTACCTACGCAATCTTTCAAAAATTTTTCAGAAATATTTTAAATGCAATGTTGCGTTTCATATGTTAAAAAAATATTATTCGTGTTATGTAAATGTAATATTACTTCTATAATGTTTAGAAATATTTCTGAAATATTGCATCTGCTACATTTGTTTGCAATATTACAGAGGCTTGCAAATATTGCAAACATGTTTCTAAAAGATTTCAGATATATTGTTAATGCAATATTATAAAAAAATATGATGCAGGTACATTTCTGAAGTATTTCAAATGCACAGTTACAATTGAAATCTGAATGAAATATTTCTGAACTGTTTTCAAACATTTTAATATTTCAGTAATATAACATACCAAGTAGGTATATATTTTACGTTCTCTTGGATTTATCAAAGGTCTAAATCTAAAAGAATACTTCAAATCACAGAGCGCTCACTGAACTGCTTTCTCTGCTAAGCATAACTTAAAATTTTTAATCGAGCGGAGGTCGCAATTGACGCAAAGCAATTCCCTTCGCGATTCGCTTTTAATCGCAACGCTATATCATGTGGAGGTGTTTATTAAGATTAACCCTTAAAGCGCACATGGAGTGTAGGATACCCCACTCCGAACTTTGTGCTCTGATAAGTCCCATTAAAATGTCTTTTTCAATAATTTTTTAAACAATGTTAATTTTAAGAAATCGCTATAACTTTTGTTTATCCTTAAAATACATGACTTTAACTTTATTCAGAAATTTTTATGCAATAAAATAGTCAATAGCGTCGTTACATACTTAAAGACACTGGGGTATCTCATACCCCCAGTGCGCTTTACGTAATTTTTCGGAGGTGTGCGCTTTAAGGGTTAAAGCTTATTGCATAAAATATATGTTATAACAATATGGGTTGATTCATGTGATGTGTTATTGTGCAATCTATATAAAAATGACACCATATTAAAATAAAATGTTCTTTTGTTGCAATAAAATATTTTTTGAAATTATAACTTTAAGTCTTATTAACATAAACTTTTCATTTATAAACCAAATTTATATAAAATATAAAGAACAAAAACATGTCCACAATATGATTTTAAAAGACGACTAAAAGATGTCTAATATTGGATATCTTTTAGTCATCTTATAAGTTTTGGCTATAAGGCGACATTTAGTGGGACATAAATCATCTTTTAGTCGACTTTAAGCTCTAACAAAAAGACATTTATGTTGAAAATTTGTCATCTTTTAGACACCTTTGGGATATCTTTGTGTTCTCTGGGAAACATACTTCAAAGATCGTATTACAGTATTTGTCTGCCAAAAAGTGCAAGTTTTCGAATGGTCTGCTCATTGTCAGTCTCAAAACTTAAATCCTATTGAGCATTTTCGGGATGAATTTGGTCGCCGAGTAGCCAACAAGAAACATTCAAATAAACAAAGTTTATTAAATATTTTAAGGAAAGAATAGAAAAAGATTTCTCGAGACACAATCTCTCACCCACCAATCGAGTCAATGTCACGTCTGATTTGGTCTCGCCGAGACGAGACAAGATTAGCTCAAGTCTCGTCTCGGTCTCGATTTGGTCTCGAAATTTTCGGTCTCGGTATCGGCTTGGCCTCGACAATGACAATCTCGTCTCGGTCTCGGTCTCGGTTTTGAGTCAAGACTCTCGGTCTCGATAATCACACTAATTGTGTTTTTTCTATTCTTTTTATGATTTATGCGATTAAACTTAAATTATTCATTATTTTCACTGTGAGCCTAAAGTGCTGCCCAGCACGTATAGACCAAATAGAGAATTATATTTTAAGATGTAAACTTTTCGTCGGCTCACTGAAACTTTCGAGACTCGGGACAAACCCGACCAACCGCGTGTTGCGGCCCCAAATTATTATTAAAAAATAAGATTAAGAAATGGTTTGATTCTTTAAAAATCACAATATTATTTAAAGAGCAATCGTATTAAATAATTATATGTATTATAACAATGTATTAAACGCGACCGTGAAAGTGTTCGCAAGAGTTACGAAAGCCTATATAGTCAGCAAAACGATGAGTTGCGCGACTGGCCTACATCCGATCGAGCAACTCAGCAGTAACAAAGGACGAACGACCCGATAAAAGAGAACGAGAGGAAGAACCGAAAGGGCAATTGGAATTAGAGGCAGTGACGGGCATTTCGTATAAAGAATAATTGTTAGACCGAAGTTATTAAAATATTATTTTATTTTAGTGAAAGTGTCGCTTATTCCTTCTCGCCTCCCCCGTGGACCAAAAGAATCTGAGTGTTCCAAAAAGGGACACAACAAATGGTGGCAGCGTGAGGGATTCATGCTGAAGGAGAAGAGAACGGCAGCTGAAACAGAAAAAGTGAATCACTAAGGCGGTGCAACATCCTCAACGAAGACACGACAGCCAGATTCGACAACAGCAGAACACACGGTAATAGCCGACGAGGGACAAACGTTCAGCGTAACCCGAGACGGCACCGACCTACCTCAACGGAGGCTCACCGACAGATAAAGCGGCACGAGCACCGACCAGCAACATGCGACTAACGACCGTAATGTAAATCGATTAAGCAATTTATGTAAAACGTAATTACCGTAGATGTCGGAAAGCGATAAATCCACCTGCGGAACAAAATCAATCGTGGCTCCATAGCGAGACGTCACGACGAGCGCGTAGAAATAGCCCGTTAAGTCCTGTTCAAACGACCGAAGAAGTCGTAAGCGGCAATCGCAAAACCGTGCGTAGAAATTT